CTATCTGAAAGCTCCCACAACCGCTACTCCATACATCAAGTCTGGGTTTTGCTGGTGGTGGGGTGCAGAGAGCGAGGCATAACATATTTTCCACTGGCTCCTGTGACACACCGGACATTTCACAAACATCATCCCCCTGACTCCAACCAAGTCCTGCTCCGAGGCATTCAGGCACGCAAGAACAGCATGGTGGAGACACGACGGACTCGTGACGGAAACACATTGCGCTGAAAGGAAGAAGTTTGACATTACCAGTGCAGCAGTAGCAGGGCTCAGCGCTCCTCTTTCTTTCTATGAGATGCAGAGCACAGAAGAGCACGTAGGCAGCGTGTAAGAACCAGATCACACAGTAATTCTCCTTGCTTCAGTGATTGCTTTGCTATAGACAGCATTAACAAGTAAAGGTAATATTTCCCCACTAGAAGGAAAAATAAAATAAAAAAAAGGAGGGCAGATGCAAAGGGAAGGACAGACAAGAAAAAGAGAAAAGCAATTGTCAAGACAGCAGAGAAATAAGACCATTTTCCTACTCTACTTCTGGCAGAATTAACACATTTTCTGCAGTTCTGTCTTTTCAGCGTTCCCACTCACCCTAGGAGTCCAAAACTGAACATCTCCTAGGCTTTCAACCAGACAAGATGTATTCCAAGCACATTTTTGCTATTTTTTTTCTTGACAATTTTTTCCCTGTGTTCTCCTGTCCTGAAACTTAACCCATGTTCTGAGTTTTGCGCCAGGGTAGGTTCAGGCTGGATATTAGGAAAAATTTTTTCACTGAAAGGGTTGTCAGCCATTGGAATGGGCTGCCCAGGGAGGTGGTTGAGGCACCATCCCTGGAGGTGTTCAAAAGACGGGTTGATGTAGTGCTGGGAGGTATGGTTTAGTGATGATGCTCCTTGTTTGTTGTGTGGGTGTCTATTTTTGTCAGTTAGGTTGACGGTTGGACAAGATGATCTTTAAGGTCCCTTCCAACCTAGAAGATTCTGTGATTCTGTGATTCTGTGAGTTTGTGATTCAGTGCCAGTGCCCAGTACCTGCTTCTGGCTCCTGATTTTACTGCCTATGTCTCTCACAGCACATCCAAGTCTATCCCCATTCACCGGTCCATGAGAGACTGGCTGAAAGGGGACAACCTGCTGCCTCAGTCCTGCAGGGTCGGACCTTCTTGCACAAGGAGCTGATCAGCCCAAGCAAAAGAACATCTAGGCTTTTTTACTTCCCATCCCTTATCTTTGCTGAATCTAGTTTGCTCAGCCAGACCTACCACAGGATGCTACCATTTTTTAGTGCCAGACAGATAAAATGGAGGGTTTTGGAACTGCCACTCAAGCTGAAGGGTTTGCCAGCCAGCAAGAAACCACCTGTCCCAATTTTGTCCTGGCTCCCTCTTCCATACAGGAGGCAGCTCTGTGATTCCTCCTGCAGACAGGGGAGCAGTGCAGAGGACCCCTGGCGACATCTCTCTCACCTGGATCCTAAACTCACGGGGTCTCGGGGAGGTAGTGGTGAGGACACGTGTTTCTGTCTGGCTAGGAGAAAGCCACCATCTCCAATGGGAAGTCACTAGCAAAGCCAGGGATCCCCCAAGACAGCCTGAACCACACGCACAGCGCCCATGTGAGAAAGTCTGTTCTCCAGAAAGAGGTTTCCAGGGCCATACTGAGACTGCAGGAGACACTTTGCTGTTTCTCTGTCAGAGAGTGGTTTGAGGCCTCAGCACCGTTGCACCGGGCAGCAGGAGAGAGCAGCCAGGGGGGAAACTCGCCTCCCCCACCACCACGAGGGCAGGCGGGAGCCGAGCACAATTCCCCCCTGTGCCCACACACCGGGGGGTCCTGATGCCCCCTGAAAAATAACATGAGTAGGTGCCATGCCCCAAGCACTCCGCACTCACACGCACACACCAACACTGGAAAACTGCTACCGAGGACACCGCATGGAACGCCAGGGGCCAGTGGAAAAGTGTTGCACAACTGCACCGTTTTCAGGGAATTTGCTAAGTCTCCCCTTTCCCAAACTTCTAGTCTGGCTGCATGGCCATCTGCACAGGCTGAACGGTCAGGAGAAAACTCATTTCCAGACCTCGTGGGAACAGCTGAAGGTGCCAGAGAGCACATGGGTAACAGCAGGAGCAGGACCAAGGGAGACACCACAAATTCACCACTACCTTCTCATTTGATGGAAGTCAAGCTTGCATGGCATTGAATGGGTGCCACAAAATGCACGCTCAGCCATGTGTCCTCATCTCAGATCTATCTGAAAGCTCCCACAACCGCTACTCCATACATCAAGTCTGGGTTTTGCTGGTGGTGGGGTGCAGAGAGTGAGGCATAACATGTTTTCCACTGGCTCCTGTGACACACCGGACATTTCACAAACATCATCCCCCTGACTCCAACCAAGTCCTGCTCCGAGGCATTCAGGCACGCAAGAACAGCATGGTGGAGACACGACGGACTCGTGACGGAAACACATTGCGCTGAAAGGAAGAAGTTTGACATTACCAGTGCAGCAGTAGCAGGGCTCAGCGCTCCTCTTTCTTTCTATGAGATGCAGAGCACAGAAGAGCACGTAGGCAGCGTGTAAGAACCAGATCACACAGTAGTTCTCCTTGCTTCAGTGATTGCTTTGTGATAGACAGCATTAACAAGTAAAGGCAGTATTTCCCCACTAGAAGGAAAAATAAAATAAAAAAAAGGAGGGCAGATGCAAAGGGAAGGACAGACAAGAAAAAGAGAAAAGAAATTGTCAAGACAGCAGAGAAATAAGACCATTTTCCTACTCTACTTCTGGCAGAATTAATACATTTTCTGCAGTTCTGTCTTTTCAGCGTTCCCACTCACCCTCGAGAGATGCATCCCATGGGTTTACTACCACTGACCACTTTGCCTCTTCCTCACACAGCTTGTTAGATTCACGCAGAAGGAGCATGTTTATTTTACAGATCAATTAGCCTTACGTTGCTAACCTACATCTGACTGCTGGATGTGCCCAGGACATGTATACCCCGTGTGCTGGATGTCACTCCTGCTCCAACTTTGCTCAAGGGATGCGTTCTGAGAAACACATTTACTCTCCAATCATTTTTGTCTCGAGGGTTAGCTGTAAGAGCACACAGACAGCCCCACAGCCCTAGCACTGGAGGACAGGACCAGAGAGGAGAAGGAGCCAGCAGCGCAGGGCAGTGCAAGCCAGCATGCACCATGGCAGCAGCAGCAGGAGCTCCAGATGGGCTTTGGACACTTGTCTGCCTTTACAGGCACTGGCACAGCTCCACGTGGACGGGCCCCTCGCTTTCCTTACCCTTGACCACCACCGATGGGGAAACACCAGCCCCAGCTGCCCTGCCGGCCCTTTGCGATGGAGATGGCTGCTGGCCCACAAGTGGCACCCCCGGCCCGCTCTGGGGGCAGGCATCTCTCCAGAGCTGGCTGGTGAGCTGCGCCTGGCTGGGAACCCCCACCTGCAGGATCACTGCTGGGAGCCGCATCGCGCCCCGGCTTCCGAGCCACGCTCAGAGCAGGGGAGGCACGCTGCTCGGCCACCTTCACCCACCTGCAGCCCCGCGACCCGTGGCTCCAGCAGCCCTGTGGCACCGGCAAGTCGCCCAGACAAACGCTGCACGTGCAAGGAAATGCGGTGGGGAGGACGACGGGCTGGGGCTGGCCCCCACGTCGCTGGACCGTCAGCGGCACCGGGCCGCTCTCTGCATCCCACGGGAAGGGTCTCCTCCCGGGGCTGCACACCTCAGGGCACAGCGTGACCGCCCGCACGCCGCAGAAACGCCGTGCGCCCTCAGCAACGCGGCCACCGGAGCACCTCGGCTGCAGCGCTTGGGGGCCACCCCTAATTCCCCACAAATCACTTTTGCCCAGATCTCTGGCACCCTGGAAATGAGCAAAGTAAGAGGAGTAGTACTAATGCAGTATTGGTTTGCTCTCTAGAAAAAGGTCTCCCCTTTACTTTCAGTTCTGTGAGGAAATGTATCGCTTGGGCGACCGTTTTAAATATTAATGGTCTCTGATATGCCCAAACGCATCAGCTGATCCACAAACTAAGGAGTTCCATTTAAAGAAGTGTGTTACTTCATCTCGGTTTTCACAGAACTGAGGAAACAGGATATAAATACATATCCAAGAGAGAAACTGCACCATGGGACTGTCCAGCCGTCGCTCTCTGCTGGGGCTCTCAGGACGGCATCTGCCCTTTCACACGCAGCCCATGCAAATGCCTACACATTTTAAGATTTTACAAGTGTGAACAACACCCACTTATTTAACCACGATTATGGTATAAATTCAGACAGCTTGTTTGGAGTGAAACATGCCTTTTCTTCTTTTTTTTTTTTTTAAGAAAGACAGGTCTAAGGTCATCAGATATCAAGGAAAAAAGCCCAACAAAAACCTCCGTCCCTACTAGTTTTTTTTCTGCTCTATTCACCTGAAGACAATCACTCACCTGCCTCACTGCCACAGCTTTGCTTTCTCCATCCTGACACTTTGTGCACTATTAGTAGCACGAACAGAAGCTGCTTGAGAAAGTAAGTGAAATTCTACAGCTTTATGGCACACCAAATACCAGATTAGGCATTAACGCTACCTTATCACCTTAAAAGATCTCTTTATGCAGCTCCTGCAGCAGCTGTGAAAAAGGAACATTTGGAAAGAGAAAACAGATGGGGTTGTGCTATAAGGGATTTTTTTTTCCTCCTCACCAAGTGGTTTCTTTAAACAGTAGCTCCTTAGAGTGAATCATGCCTAACTGGAGAAGGGGACCTCAGGTTTTCCATCAAAACCATCGAAGCAAAATTGCTCATGTTCATTTTCACATTTTTTGGGGTGCTACAGCCTTTTTTTTTTTCTTCTTCTTTTCAAGCAACCTTATCCTGATCCCTTGTCCCAACAACATCCCATTCAGGATAAAGCAATCACTCATCTGTTTTAGGGGGCACGGGCACTGTTGTGAGAGCATTATAAAGCCCTCTGTCTCTGGCATCTTACCTGGTTGATAACATACACTCCATAATCTAACTGTTGTCTTTGGAGGACTGGGTGCAGGTAATAGAGCCAGTACTTCAGGTGCTCCTCTCGGTTCCTGAACGGTATGATTATCGCTACTTTCTGAAGTGCTATACAGTCCTTTGGAGCAAAACGACCTCCTGTTTTGACCTCTGGGTTTATTCTCGCCACTTCTTCCAGGTTCACAGGCTGGGAAAACTCCACACGTAGTGCACCAACTGGAAGGGAGGCACAACACAGAGCCAGTTAGCGCACACAATCCATTTCGCCGATCACACATCCTTTACAAATTTTGTTTTGATTTTTTTTTTTAAAAACAGAGGTTTGGGTCCAAACCCAGGAGGTGCTGAAGCTTGGACCAGCCATGCACGCAATTTATTTCACCGACCACACATTCTTTACATATGTTGTTTTTTTTTTTAAAAAAAAACAACAGAGGTTTGGGTCCAAACAAAATCCCAGCGGTGCACCCAGGAGGTGCTGAAGCTTGGACCAGCCATACCCAAAGCAACCACACACCACCTTTCAGAACAAACTCGCAAACGCTCTACCCTCTTGGTACCAGACCCCAAACCAGTTGCTGACGCCAAACGCCTCTTGAAAATCCTCCTGTCTGTGTGGCAAACCAACAGCTGCGCTCCCACCGGCACGTGTGCCACAAAACCAGCCCAGAGAAGAGCGCTGCCCGCTGCGCTCTCACCCACCTTGCACAGCGTAATCAAGGTCTTCAAAAACAGTCCTGATCTCCTACTGACATAATTACTTACGTCAAGCCACATGCAAAGTGAGCAAAACCCCCTTTCTTGGTTGTTTTTTCTTTCTTTTTTTTCTTATAGATACTTTCAGTGTTCTGTAGGCATGCCCACTATTTATTAAAAGTCCTGTATCAGAACTGCTAAAAAACCCACCATACCCAGATTTGCATACAGGTTGGCAATTCCTACACATGGTTTCAACACTGGCAGGTTTTGAAACCACCAAAATAATCTGTGCCAAAACTGACGTGTAAAACTGAGAAGCCCCCCAGGCCCCACACAGCACCCTCTGCGCTGCTCAGTGCCAAGCTCGGGGAGAGAGGACAGTGACAGCCCGGGGCACCGACACGGCCAACGAGACCGACTGTGCAAGACTGCGGCTCACGCGTCTCCACAAGTCCTCCTTGCTTGCCAGGGCTCCTCGGCTCTGCCACGTTGGCTCCAAAGACATCCCTCCCATACAGCTCTACGTGGGTCTGGGGCTAGACACGGCATTGCTGGCCACAGCCTTTTTGTGGATGCCCTCTCTTAACATCCAGGCTTCTCTTAAACATTCCTTCCTGCGGCATTTGCTTCCAACCCTGAGGAACAGACTTGCTGCAAAAACCTATCGAGCAAGTAGCTGCCCACGGAAGGACCTCTCTTGCTGCCATGTCCTGCTCCCAGCCCAATAAACTGGGCTTTGCACGGATGCTCAGCTCCCCCAAAACCCTCTGCAGCGGGTGGGGATGCTGAGGACCCTGGGCATAAAGCAGAAGGTCTTCACCAAAAGCATTAGGCTGGGGAATCACTCCTTGAAGACTTGGTTGCTGTGCTCTCCCCCTCTTCTCCATCCAGGCATGAATACATGCACGTGTGTGCATGCACACACTCGCACACGTGTCTTCGAGCTACCCTCTCCTCTTCACAGTTGCTGAAGAGACCCCCAGCCCCTCAGAGGGCACACACAGCGTGCACAACTTACACGTGGGTACCCTGCACTTACAGAGCCCCTTGTGAAGGGGGAACCAGTGATTTTCAGAGCTCTAGAAGACAGTGGCCATCACAACCAACCTCGTGCATACCCCAACAGGGACTACTGGAAGAGCAGAAAGTCTGCTCCAGGCTCATGGCTCATACCCCAGTTGCTTCTCTAGAAGAAGCTACTTCAGTTGGGTTGTGCTGCTCCACGCACCCGTGCTCGCTCAGGCTGGAGATGGCACGAAGGAGACCGGCCAAACCGGCAGGGGTGCTCGCTGTACCCCCGAGGCAGGACCTTGCAATAAACCGGTGTCACAGGCAGGACGCAGAGGGATCTCCCGACCTCTGCATTTTGCACAGGGCAACTTCGCACGCTTCCCTCTCACACGAGGAGGGAGTGAGTCGCAGACAGGCAGCGACTTCTCAGTGCCCGGGCACTGGGACCAGTCTGCCCCTGCTCCCAGCACGCCCACAGCTCCCAGCTGCAGCTCCAGCACGGCTGCTTGGATCCCCATCACGGACGCTGGTCCTGCGAGGCAACCATGGCTGGGACAAAGCTTATCAGACTGAAAAGTGGCTTACGGGGGGGGGCTGGAAGGGCGCTCTGCACCGGGAGGAAGAGGCAAGAATGGGAGGAACCGGGGCAGGAAGGAACATGCAGCCGCACGACCGGGACCGGGGCTTGGTGGTGGCAGGATCAGGACAAGCACAGCCACCCCACAGCCACCGGTGGGACAGATGGGACATGCAGAGAGGGGGCAGGTGCCAGAGCAGCGAGGCCAGCAGGGGCAGAAGGGGGAAAGGGTGCATCGTTTCCTCCAAATTTGGTTATGTCTCCCGTGCAGTGGTGGTGAGCACTCTTCCAGAACAGCCCCTGGACTAGACCCTCCTCCACGCCTGCTTTAAAGAATGGTAGGGGTTGGAAGGGACCTTCGGAGATCATCCAGCCAAACCCCCTGCCAAAGCAGGTTCACCTGCAGAGGGTTGGACAGTAACGCATCCAGGCAGGTTTTGAATATGGAATAATAATATTTGAATGTGGAATAATAATGAAAGCCAAAGGTTATTGAACTGTGTAAACTCTGTGAAGAGGGAATATAAAACATGTGCACAGCCTCCTCGGCAGAGGGGAGGAATGGTTCTGCAAGGGAAATGCTGAATTGGTCACCTTCCCCCTTCCCAAAAGCCAGCCACAGCGCTGAGTTGGCTGGAAGGACCACCCAAGGGCAAGGATGGAAGCAGCCCCGGGCAGGGCCCATACACCTCTGGCCACGGGGGATGCTCACCAAGCTGCTCCCTCTTCTCTCAGATGGCTGGGGCCAGCGTGGACCTTCCTAAGCCCCAGGCAAGACTGGGGGCTAGAAATGTCCTCAGCACGGTCATGGCTAGCTCCTCAGCAAGTGCAAATGTGGACACTGCGGGTGTCTGGAGCTCTCCCAGCCTGCTGGGGATTCCTGGAGGACAACTCCCTGCCCTTGTGCATCTCCTGCCTGCTCCCAGGATGAAGGAGGCCTGCTGTCACTCGTGGCCCAGACTTCATCTCAGCAAGTCTGTCCCAAACAAGTTTTTGGTCAGCACTACTCTTCAGCTACATCTCCAGCTTTCCACCCAGTGGTCCTCTGTTCCATCCTTCACCAGTTGATTTTGATTCAGCAAATGAAGATGGGGGTGGATGTGGAAAATTCAGCTTCCCAGAAAGAGGTGATGAGGATGTCACGCGGTGACCAGGACAAACCAGGACACATGGAAAGCCTGATGTCGAACATCCAGTCTTGCAGGTGGAGGAGCTGGCATCTTCTGGGATGGTGGTGCTTGCTGAGAAGTCCTTAACTGAGGAGTTGGCGTCTCTTACCACTAAGGATCCCCTCCGGTCTCTCTGTCCCCTCCCTGCTGTATGTGACACCTCTGTGCATTTAAACTGGGTATCCATGCACACAGCCCCCTTCCATCACACTGAATCTTATCATAAAGATCATTTTGCTCTGTCGATCTCAGCTGCAACTGCTTATGTGACCAAGCTGCTGAGTGGAGCAAGGTACTGAAGCGCCCATGAGGATGGTAGAGGAGCACAGGCAGGGGCTGCACCTGCAGCTCCTTGCTCCCACTCAGCTGAATTCCATTCCCTCCAGCCCCTCTGTGCCCCCTCCCTGTCCCATCCCACCCACTGACAGGGTGGGCTTGCCAGAGGATGACAGCAGACCTCCTTGTGTGTTTGAGGTCTCCCTCCTGGGGCCTGGCCAGTGCATCAGGCACCTGAGCATCTGGCTGGCTGGGTCTCACAGGGTAACAGGGTGGCCACAGCGCAGATACCCAAATCAGCCTAAATTTCCTGGCTTTTTCATGTGAAGTCACAGAATCAGAGAATCACAGACTGGCAGGGTTGGAAGAGACCATCAGAGATCATCTAGTCCAACTCCCCTGCCAAAATACATTCATCTAGAGCAGATTGGATGCGATTGTGTCCAGGTGGGTTTTGAATATATCCAGAGCAGGAGACTCCACAGCCTCCCTGGGCAGCCTGTCCCAGTGCTCTGGCACCCTCAAAGTAAAGAAGTTTTTTCTCATTTTGAGAGGGAATTTCCTGTGTTCCGCTTTGTGCCTGTTGTCCCTGTTGCGTGGTCTTGACACCCTTGACACCTTGGCACCTCTTGACACCCACCGTCTAGATATTTATACTATATCTATATATTATATTTATATAGATATTATTGGTGAGCTCCCCTCTCAGTCTTTTCTTTTGCAGGTTGAAAAGACCCCAGTCTCAGGCTTTCCCCACAAGAGAGAAGCTCCGGTCCTCTGGTCATCTCCGTAGCCTTCTGCTGGACTCTTTCCAGTAGCTCCCCGTCTTTCTTGAACTGGGGAGCTCAGAAGGGGCACAGCACTCCAGATGTGGCCCTGCCAGGGCAGAGTAGAGGGGGAGGATGGCCTCCCTCGCCCTGCTGGCCACGCTCTTCTTAATGCTTCCCCCTGCCCACCCCTCTGCCCCCCGGCGTCACCTCCGGTTGGAGACCGGCACTCACGGTTACCATGATGCTACACTTTTGTGCACGTTAAGAGAGCAAAAGGCATTGACTTCACCTAACAGCTCGTGGACACCAACACTGGGCGTCCCGGTTCACCCAGTGGTCACAGCCACCGGACGGGATCACCCTGGGGGATGCTATTACCCTGCCCTGCGGGATGCTGCGGGAAGCAGCGGGGAGGAGGCAGCACGTCCCCTCACGGGGCCCTGCCAGCCCCATCCCGCTCCCGGCGCTGGGCGGCCGCCGTCCCACCGAGCAACCCCTTCCTGCCGGGGACGGCCGGACGCCCCGCTCGCCCCGAGAAACAACCACGAGCCCTATCCGACCCCGGGGATGCTTTCTGGTTTAACGAACAAAGGCTCTTTTAATGCCTCGCGCAGCCTTAATAAGGGGAGGAAAAGAAAGTTTGCCGTTTAGGCGACTTTACAGGGGGAATCTCCCGCTGGCGGCTCGTGAGCTCCAGCTGGGCAAGGGCAGCCG